CTCCAACTCCTGGGCTCAAGCGAGTCTCCTGCCTCAGCCTCCCAAGTAGCTGGGACCACAGGCGCCCGACACAATGCCCAGCTATTTTTTGGTTGCGGCCATCATTGTTGTTTGGAGGGCCTGGGCTGGATTCGAACCTGCCACCTTAGGTGTATGTGGCTAGCACCTTAGCCACTTAAGCCACAGGTGTGGAGCCGAGGAATTGTATTAAAGGGTCGTGGCATTAGGAAGGTTGAGAACCACTGGTCTAAACACTGCTTCACTGCTTTAAGTCTTACCTATCAATTAGGAAAAGGTTTAATAAAAAGCCAAAGAAGAAATGTCAACCAAACCTTTTATGAATGTAAACAAATTAGTGTAGAAAGAGTAGGGCACTCTGACCTTATAAATGTTCCCTACTTAAACTATACAAATGTTTGAAGTTCAGCACAACCTTTAATAGGGCCATGACTTTCATCATAGTTATCATATGATACCTACGAGCTCGCAGATCATCCATTTGGTCTTTATCTTGCCAGCATGTGATGCCCGGGGGTGGCTCTGTAGCTAACATGTGCAGCTCTCTCTTCAGACGTGAAGCTCTCTGCATGATCTCCAAGTAAAAGAAACCACAGGTCACTGCTCTACTAAGATGCACTGGGGTAGAAGAAAGATAACCACGAAATAGTCAGTAATAGAGACTGGAGTTTTCAGCACACAGCTTCCATTTAGTGAAGGACAGATTCATCATTAATCTCTATTCTGACAAGGGAATCTGAGTTTTTTCCATTTCCTTCACGTGAACACTATAGCCACTCAGGCAAATAAAGTTTTAAAGTACATAACAGAAAAGCAGAAAGTTCTACAAAACACAAAAATACTATGTGTTTTAAATTAATGTGTGGTGTTTCCATTGATAAATTATAAACACATGAGACCAGGATGTGGGTCTAATTTTGCCCACCACTATGTATATCCTTAGCACGCCTGGCATAGTAAGGGATTTGACAAGTGTTAACCGTGAGGAAACCCATATAAGCTTTGTAAAAGCAAAAGTGATAGAGATAGTCGATATTCTGAGATATTTATAAGCAAATGTTAAATGTCTGAGGTTCTCTCCATGTATTATAGATTCTACATCCTCCCAATTCTTCAGAGATGACATTCCATCAATGATTCCATTTTTCTCTAGTATGTCCAATCTTCTCTTCTCATTTACCAACACTCAAAGTCTCTTTCATCTAAAACACCCACACACATATCTACTCAACAGCCTTCTCAACTTTAGTTCTCCAACTACTAACCAAAGAATACTAGTTCTTTGATAAGTGTTACAAATACTCCCCAGTTTGTGGCATGTCTTTCTACGTTATTCATGGTGTCTTCCAATAAACACAGCCTTAATGTAATGACTTTTTAAATCTTTTCCTTTACATTTGTACTTTCTGTATATTAAATTTTTCCTTATCCCAAATTTAAAGATAATTTTCTACATATTCTTCAAATTTTTTTGTTTTGTTTTTCACACTTAAATCTTACATGTATTAGGAGTTTATTGTTCTTGTACCACTTATTGGAAAAGTCCATCAATTTCCTGATACTACCATGAATTAAATTTCCATATATATGTGGATTTGTTTTGTGTCTCTTAAATTTGTTCCACCAGTCACAAAAATTTTTGAACCAATATCCCATTGTTTCAATTACTATAGCTTATTTATTTTTCATTATTTAACTTTTCTAGTTTTATTGAGGTATAATTATCAAATAAAAACTTTATTTTTTACCAAGTGATGATGAAAATTTTTAAAAAAATAATAAAACAAATAAAAGTTGTATACATTTAAGGTGTACAACACAATGTCTTACTACAGCTTATCCATCTGTTCTTTTTTTTTTTTTTTAAGGGTGTCTTGGTTATACATTTTCCCATATAAATGTTAGAACCAGTTCATAAAAGTCCACAAATATACATGAAATTACAATCCAAATTCAAATAGGGTTTTGGGACTAGGATTGTAATTTCATTCACTTATATATCAATTTGGGGAGAACTGATGTCTTTATGATACTGAGTCCTAATGAACTGATACTGAGTCCACATGAACATGATATATTTCAGTCTTTTTTAAAAACTTTATTTAAATTACTATGATTTTTCAGTCTTTTTTGATGCTTTCCAAAGGTTTTATAATTTTCTTTATAAAGCCTTACCTAATTTTTGTTAGATTTACTCCTAAGTACATTTTAGTTATCCTTACAAAAATACTATTTTCTGGCTCGGCGCCTGTGGCTCAAGTGGCTAAGGCGCCAGCCACATACACCTAAGGGGGCGGGTTTGAATCCAGTCTGGGCCGCCGAACAACAATGATGGCTGCAACTGAAAAAAATAGCCAGGCGTTGTGGTGGGCACCTGTGGTCCCAGCTACTTGGGAGGCGGAGGCAGGAGACTCGCTTGAGCCCAGGAGTTGGAGGTTGCTGTGAGCTATGCCACAGCACTCTACCAAGGGGGACAGCTTGAGGCTCTGTCTCAAAAAAAAAAAAAAAAAACAACAAATACTATTTTCTATCTATTTCTTACTGATACATGTAAATATAATTGATTTTTAATCAAAACCTTAATAGTAATAATTAATCTATTCTGAGGGAATAGGAGTAGTAATTCTTTTTCTTTTTTTACTCACCACTATACCAACGAGGAGGGCATAGTAATTCTACATAGCGAATCGTATTATCCACATATTATCAGTTTATTTCTTCCCTCTAGAAAACTTTTCCTGCTTTCTAATCTGGCAATAACTTCTAGCACAATATTGAATAGATGAACTGACAGCTGGTGCTTGTCCAATTTCTAACCATAAAGGAAAAGCTTTTAACACTATGCTTATCAGTAAGATTGGCCTGTAATTCTTTCTAATTTTGTCCTTAATGGGTACCAAGGTTATGCAAGTCTCCTAAAATTAGTTAGAAAGTGTTGTCTCTTTTTTATATATCATGGATTAGTCTGGGAGAAAATTTGTTCCCAGGCTGCCTGAAAGAAGTCCAGCTGGTGCTGGTGTTTTCATTATAAGAAAATTCTTAACTACAATTTTTTTTCTTTCTTTCTTTTTGAGATGAAGTCTCACTCTGTTGCCCCAGGCTACAGTGCCATGGCATTAACCTAGCTCACAACATCCAACTCCTATACTCAAGAGATCCTTCTGCCTCACCCTCCTGAGTAGCTGGGACTACAGGCAACTGTCACAACACCCAGCTACTATTTGTATTTTTAGTAAAGATAAGGTCTCGCTCTTGTTCAGGATGGTCTTGAACTCCAGAGCTCAAACAATCTTTCCACCTTGGCCTACCAGAGTGCTAGAATTACAGGCGTGAGCCACTGTACCCAGTGAATTTCTTTAAAAATTACAGTATTATTCAAGTTTTTAATTTCCTTTTGAGTAAATTTTAGCACATTAAACTTTTCCACAAATCTATTTCATGTAGCTTTAAATTTATTTGTATAAAGTTTTCTTTTTAATTTCCGCAGCATCTGTGATTATCTTTTCGTTTTCATTTCTAACATTGTTTATCTGTACTATCTTTTATTTTCTTTGATCAGTCTTACTGGCATGTATCAATTTTGTTTGTCTTTACAAAGAATTTTTTTCAACAACTTTTTTTTTTTTTTTTTGAGACAAAGTCTATGTTGCCCTCGGTGGAGTGCCGTTGCATCACAGCTCACAGCAACCTCAAACTCTTGGGCCTGTGCAATTCTCTTGCCTCAGCCTCCCAAGCAGCTGGGACTACAGGTGCCAGCCACAATGTCTGGCTATTTTCTGGCTGTTGTTGTCATTGTTGTTTGACAGGCCTGGGCTGGGTTTGAACCCTCCAGCTCCAGTGTATGTGGCTGGCACCCCAGCCACAGAGCTACAGGTGCTGAGCCAAAAATTTTTTTTAATTAAAAAATTTTCTTTTAATAGACAGTCTCACTATATCACCCAGGCAGGTCTTGAACTCCTGAACTCAAACAGTCCTCCCACCTAGGCACCCCGCCACCCTCAGCACCTGAGATTACAGGTGTTGTACCATCATGCCCAGGACAAATGACATTTTATAGTTCCTCTGTATCCAAGATTTATTTTTTATTTCAAAAATTTCTGCTCATACCTTTATTATTTCCATCCTAGTTTTTTTTTTTTTAAATGAACTTAGGTTGTATGCTTATGAGCAAAATAATTCCCTCAAACTGTTTTTTTCTATTTTCATACAACAATAATCATCAACACAGGAGAGTTCTACGACCAAATATGTGGGTGTTGTACCCATGGGAGTGCGGGATTATAGACAAACTGCCAGATCACATTAGGGTTTGAGTTCTTTATTACTGGCGGTCAAGAGCAGGCTCGTGCCTAAAGAACTCTCGACCCTGGGGTTAAGTTCTCTCAGGGTTTTATAGTCTCTTTTATAGTTGGGGAGGGTTCAGGGAGAGTCAAGCCGAATTTTACAGAAGCAGAATTTTGCGCTTTTAACAGGAAGGCTTGCAGGGGAGGAGATTGGTTGCATTTATGCTATTTCTGGGGTTTCAGCTGTTTTTGCCAACCAGGTGTTCTGTAAAACAGGATGTGGTTTGATACTCACCGACCACATGGAATGTGTGTGAGGGGGGTGCAAGTTAGGGGCTTGCATAGGCCTGTCACAAAATATAGTCACCAAAATGGAGTCAGTTTGGCCTTCTACAGACCTCATGGGATTTTTCACCACACATCAAGCAAGCAATCAATTCTGCAGTGAACACCAGGTGGGTGTCCTCCAATTTACTTCTGACACTATTTACCTAGCAATAACATCAAATCCCATAGGCTGAGGGCTCTGTCCCACAAGACTACCTCCATCTTTACATTACAGTCCCCAAGTCTGGGCCTCAAACTTCTGACCAACCAGCTTTAAGCTGGAGTTCCTATGACCCATTTTTTTCTTTTTTTTTTTAGAGACAGAGTCTTATTTTGTTGCCCTCACCCTCGGTAGAGTGCCATGGTGTCACAGCTCACAGCAACCTCCAGCTCCTAGGTTTAGGTGATCCTCTTGCCTCAGCCTCCCGAGTAGCTTGGACTACAGGCGGCCGCCACAATGTGCGGCTATTTTTTTGTTGCGGTTTGGACGGGGCTGGGTTTGAACCTGCCACCCTCAGTATATGGAGCTGGCACCCTACTCACTGAGTCCGAGGTGTTGCTATGACCCATTTTTTGAGTTCTATTAACTTGCTAGAGTGGCTCATAGAACTCAGGGAAACATTTATGTTTACTTGCTTATTACAAAGGATAGGAAGAGATGCATAGGGTGAGATATTGGGAAAGAGGCACAGAGTTTCCACATTCTCTCCAGGCATACCACCCTTCAGAAACCTCGGCTGTTCAGCTATCCTTAAGCTCTCACAACCTGTCCTTTTGGGGTTTTAAGGAGGTTTCTTTACATACGCGTGATTTATTAAACCATTGGCTACTGGTGATAACTTAATATTCAGCCTCTTTCTCCTCCCTGGAGGTTGGCAGTAGGGCTGGAAGTGCCAATCCTCTAATCCTGCCTTAGTCTTTCCAGTGACTAGTCCTCCTTCTGAAGCTACCTAAGGGCTCCCAGCTGTCAGTCAATTATTAGCATACAAAAAGACATCAATATGGAGAT